GAATAGGAAACGCGGCGCCATTTTTAAATGGCCGAAAAAGCAGCGTCGTTGCAGCCCAGCTCCACGTTACGCCACTGCCTCATCGACGATTCAAAATACAGAACAAAAGACCCGCAGTTTCGTCACTTGGGTTACGTAAGGAAGTGTGCACGACGTTAAAAAATTCGATTTATGCTCGGTATCCCATCATGGGTAACCGCTTATTTGGTCCGAAACGAGGAAAACTGAGTCTTGGCCTAGATCATATGCTTATGTAAGTCCGGAGGTGACAGGTGGTCATGATTTTCGGCAATTTGTGGTTTTATACTTTCACATTGTTTTTGTTTATCGAAATTTGGGTATCTTTTTTTCGTGGAGGAGATACAAACATTACCGTAAAGGTCACGTGGAGGTAAATGTCAAATGGTATCATGTATGTGTGTCCTATTAAATTAGCAGTGATGGCTTGACATTTCTTTAGATGGAATTCTTGAGATAATCTTTGTTTTGGAGGTTGGCGGGTTGCAAAATGAGTGGATGGTTTATGGGAGGTGAGTTGGAGAAAAGTCGACGATGGTTAGAAATTTCGATGTCGGGTTTCGAAGATTCCGGACGAAAATCGAAAAATATTTTTTCTTTGCAGCTTCGGCCGTCGCGTTCCTGGGATTACGTGTGCGTAATATTCCACTTAAGCCAATGTCCACAATATCTTTCCCTATCTAGCCTCCACAAATACGCACTGATAAAATCAATTTTTTGTTTTCGCCGCTTCAAGGTATCGCTGATAAGTCGCAATTCCTGCATCATGTGATATGAGTAACGTGCGATTCCTGCAATTTTGACAACGTGTGCCAATATTTGCAGATAATTCTCGGCAGATTTATGAATGTCGTTCTGGTGTCGCAACCCACGAAAACTTACCGTTACTTGCAGCAATTAGGTAGTTTTCGTCGGTAAATATGGCACATTCCTGCGACGGTTCGGAACGGGTTCGAGCCTATTTAGTAGGATTATGAAAATACAAGCCATTATTCTTAAACTAAATGCGTTTAACACTCTTAACCTTTAAGTAACTACCTGTTGGCTCCCGCTTCATAAATTAAAATCCTCATTACCGACTCGCGGCGAAAATAATAAATCATTTTTTCGACTCGTCGTGTTTCGGATTTGGGTGGTCGGCCCGTTTTGCCGACGCTTTCCGTGGACCTCTACGGAATTGATTGTAATTAATCGACACTAACATCCGTTTTATGTCGACTATAAAATACTCACTGCATAGATTGTGTAGAATTACTTTAGAAATTTCACGCCGACACTTAAGCGTTCGGAGGCTATAAAGTTAAAAATTACATTATCACGTCCGACTACTGCGTACGATTTAATAAGGGAGGCTGAAATACTCTATCGACTCGGGAAAGTCAAACGAAAGTCCACTTTTTGCCCGTGTTTATCCAGCACTGAACTCAAACAATTTGTTGGTCAATTAGTGACAAAAAGCCCAACGTACAAACACTACCAAAGGTGAGAAGTTAATGTTATATCAATATTGGTATTACCAGGTGTGCACACAACCCGCTTAAATACGCGCCGCTGCCCCAAATTAACCCCTCACGAAAAGAGCAGGATTCTGCAGGAGAAGCAAAATTTCAGACGCACACAGTCCTGCTTAGCCGATTTTTACAACCAAAACGGACAAACAAAACCAACATATTTTTAAACGAGACGTACGATCGCAGGATTTTATTTTCTTCAAACAATAATTACTGCAAGGTAGAAAAATTCCTGCAATTTCTTTAGATTTCGACGAAGTGTTTGGCTTATTTTTACTAAGTACAAATTCCTGCGGCGATAAGCAATCAATTTACTGGGAAGCAGAGTCGCCTTTCTAAACAATTTCTCTTAGCCTACGAATAATTTTCAAAATTTGTAATTTTTGAATCTATATTTCCTGCTGCATTTTTAGATATTGTTTTTTTTTCGCGTTATTCTTGCTGCACTAGATTGATATCAGAAAAAATTGGTTGGCATTCTTTAAAACTATTGTATAAATTCATCCTGCTGAATCAAGTATTCCTGCAAGAGTAACTATCTGCTAAGGATTTTTTACAACGCAATTTTTTAATTAATTTGCAACTAAAAAATCTCTAAATTTGAGAGCAGAATATTCTTTATTTGTAAATGTTTTCCAGTATAAATTACCACTGGATAAAAATGATACAGGAATAATTAACGTGTAATTCTTTGTCAATATGCATTCAACAGAATACCTTTTATTAAATTTTCGCGTTTTTAAGTCATTTCACTCACTTCCGAAATGTTCAAGTAAAGAATTTTTAAATTCAAATATTTTTCAGACAAATATTCCTGCTAGAAGAGAATGATTGCAGAGGTAGTGAAAGCCTCATTTTAAGAAACCATCAGAATATTTTTCAATTATAGCTTCTTTCATTAAAATATTCCGGCCGATTAAAAGTTATTACAGGTGTCAGCTTTTAAACACTTTTCAAATAAAATAATCCTGCTAAATAAAACATTTCTGCAGCGGTGGCGATCAAAGATAAAACAAATTAAATTCACTACTGACGTAAAATGATTACCTACTTAAATTTTGAAACAAAATATCCTCAAATTGAAGCTAATTTTAAGTAAAATTTCCTGTTTAAAAAGAATAGTTGCAGGAGTACTTAATCTATGAAACAATCCTGTTGTATCCATTCCTGCAATAAATTTTTTGAACAACGAACAGTCAAAATTTTTTAATAAACTTTCGAAAATCCGCCCCGCCGCCCACAAGCTGCACACCCCAATTCCTGCAACACCCGCAGAAAGCCCCAACCTTTTCATTCCGCCCTCGCAACAGACACCTAGTGCCCTCTGACGCCTAATAGAGCAACACGGGGGTGTGAGCCTCCCCTCCCCCGCCGGAAATAGCGATTACAAAACGGCGAAAACCGCAAAAGTGATAAAATTCACGCTTGACCGCTCTCCCCTCGGACACAGAATTTACGGAAAAACAAAACAAAGAAGTGTTCGTGTGCGGAGGGTCTGAGACACGCGAATGCCACTTAACATGTTAATTCGAGGTGGATCCTCTTTTAATAGCTCAACACGCGCGTCTACCTGTGTCTTATTTTTTGCTGACCAAGGGCTTGAACGACTTGAGGGCTATAAACCCTTTGGTTCGCACGGTGTGGTCAACGGTCAGTGATTGGCTATTGTGGACGAGTAACCGCTGCGGTTTTTTTTATTTTATTTTGGTTTCTGCGAAGCGAAGTGATTAGATAAGGGCGGAAGTGAGCGATTGAGGTAAGACAAAACAGAGGAAATTATAAATGAAATATCTAAGTGACGGGGAATGAAAATTTTAGATATTTGATTTGCTTCCAATTTCAGATTTTCCGCATTCCTGCAAATTTTTTTTGAAAGTCGTTAATGATTAAAATTTGCTTAAACTTTTTTGTGAAAATCACAATAAGAATATAGATTCGGTTTGAAGACGCACGACTTCGGGATATTTTCTTTCAATACCGCGTTCCTGCAAAGGATGATTTCAGTTTATAGAACCTTTACACCTTTCTATAGGTACTTTAGAAAAACCTTTCGTACAAAATTATACACATAATTATAATATAAGGCGCAATTTGAGAAATTGAGAAATTTAGAATTTATCTCCAGCTCCGGTTTGAAGTCGACGACAAACAAAACTGACATTTAGGACAAAAATTAAATTGGAGTTTATTAAGCAAATTCAATATAACAACGACATAATTAGAAGCCGTAATTGTGGCGATAATTTTTCGTCTCTAGAACAGTTTATAGCAGGAAATTACGAAAGAATGTGACGAAAATACAACGACTTAATAGAGATAAATGCAAACTAAAAAACATGTTTTATATAAGAGCACGAAAAAGAGCTAACTCTAATTTTTGCACCACTATGCAACCGAAATTACCATTTTATGTTCCTTGGAATATTATTCTTGAAGCTAAAAGCACAATTATATCCACCACATTATTTTTACCGTTATCAATACATTATTTTTAAAATAATGTCCTTTAAATATTCAATAGAACCATGTTAAGGCTTATCGCGCGACGTTTATTTTTTAAAAAACCGAATAGTTTTCGGCAAGAAACACTGACTGGAATAAACAGAAACGAATGCAAAATTGCCAAAATTTTGTGCGACGCGTTAGAGTAACGGTAATTTCAGTTTTGTAGCGTCATCTAAGCACTCGTTTGTCTTGCAACAATAAAATATCTTTCATATTATTTTCGAAATAATTGTAGACGAAATGTAAGTGAAAATTTTCTAATTTTGTGACACTATATTTTTACACTTGTCGTTTTGATCAAGTTTATCACCGACACGTTGCGCTTTTCTATTATTATGTTTTTGTGTTTAGTCGCGCGATTAGCATTGTTTTGTATAATACAATTCGCCATATGATTAGTGACAAATTCGCTTGTTTACATAAAACAGGTGTATTTTGGAAGCGCGCGTTGAGCTTTTGGAGCTTCGGGGATCATGACAGGTGTATTTCCGGAAAGCAAAAATCCAAAATCCGCCAACGTCGCGAATTTCTCTCGCGTTTAGCCAGTTCCGAATTAGCTGTTTCGTGGTTGAGCGTGTGTGTAGTTCGAAAAGCTTTTTCGCGTCAAGCCGAGCTTCGTCGTTTCCTGCTGCGACTCCTGCACTGTCGCATTTTTGGGCACTCGTCCGCACGTCTTCCGCGACGACACTGCATTTTGGGCACTTTCGCGAGCTTTCCTTGGAGCTTTCGCGTCGTCGTGCGCTCGTCTTTTTCGGTTTTTTGAGTGCGCCTTGTGCGGCCACCTCAAGACGACTGAGGCCCTCTCCGCGAAAAAGTTGCGCAAGCTTCGTCGGCAAAAATCATTATAAGTTTTTGTTATTAGTCGTCGCCCCCGCCGCCCTTCCTAATTAAAAAGCGGCATCACGTGGCGGGGCGGCGCGGCGCGTTTTTTCGCGCTAAAACCATCGTCGCCGACGACTGACTCACCTTGCGCTATACGCACTGCTGGCATCTTGATTCTCATGTTGGCGATGGTTTCGTTCAGAGGCTATGTCTCATGTCACTGCACGTCACTGCACCGCACTGTCACTGGCTCGGCTCGGGAGTGACCATGCTGTCCGGTCCTGGACCAGAGATGCTGAGTGGCCAATGGTCCGAACGCGTGTGTCGTCGTGCTCGCGGACAGCTTTCGGCCGTTTCTGGGTCGGTCCGCGTCGGCTCGCCTCGGCCGGAGTCGGGCAGGCCACTCACTAGCCACCGGCCGTGCTCACCCCATAGGAAGGGATGCTGCTGCGCACATACATCACCCGGAGTGGGGGCTTTGCCCGCTGGCTCTCCGGATGCTCACCGGAGCGCTCCGGAGCGAGCTTTCGCGCCACACGCGCGCTCATTCCGGCCCGGATTTTCGCGCTCGGACGGACCGAAGCCGCCGCGACCGCCGCCCACGACGAAAGCCCCCCAGACTGGCCCGAACACCCCGCCGCCCGAACCCGGAGACGGCACGCAGACGGCGACAAACAACCGAAACAAGCGGACAACTTTTTACGAGCGATTATCATTCATAAGGAAATCGCGAGAGGCGAATTAATTAAGTTTTGAGAGTTTTTCGCGGAGGGGTGGGGGCGGTGGTGTCGCTTTCTGCCGGAGAGGGGCGCCACGTGTAGGCGTCGCGACGCGCCCGCTTCACTAGGGGCGGGAATGCGGATTTCGGTTATCGCAAGGTGAGAGATAAGACCGACTGTTGGCGAATTATTGAAACTGTGTCAATTTACGGTTAAAAATAGACAACTTTGAGGCTTAAAGTACAATAAAGATAGAAATTATGTTTACGTTGTGTTCAAAGCGCTTCTATATGTAGATAACGACAAATCTGAACTCTCTATTTCACTTTTTTTTGTAAAAAAATTGAGGTGGGGAGTTCACGCCGGACTTAAGCTGACTTAAACTCCGATCAGACAAGTAGGTTTATTTCTAAAAATTGCCTGATCAATTTAATGGAATTGTTTGGCCCTGAGACGATATTCGGCTTTACGACCTGCGTTATAGCGTTTTTTTACCAAAATACTTAAGTGCACTGATAAAATGATAATGTTGTAATGTTTGGTTAGAGTCGAGTAGGTGTCTGGAACATATCATGACTGTCAAGAGTGCAAATTTGGTCACGTTTCTTTCGTCGTTGTGGTTAAGGAAACGATCAGACAAGTATTCGGTTTATTAAATTTTCTTTATTTTGGGAAAGTTAAGTTCGTTCGAGTGAGTAGTGGTCGACGTGTTAATATTTATCTATTTAGAGCAAATTCGTTGTTATAAATTTGTTCTACCTGATAATCGTAAAAGTTCATTTTTACGTGCTACATAAATTCACACATTTTATTTATTACCATCAAATAAAAAGCCAGCAGTCGACGGACTTTATCGAAAAATTAAAAATGCTTTCTTAATCAAAATCAAAATAATCGTGCTTAATTTTATTGTAACTACGTACTGATTTTAGGTCTGCCTGTCTGTCGGTCTGTCTGTCTGTCTGTCTGCCGTGTGTCCGTCTTACTTGAAAAAGTAGATCTTCGGTCTGCTGGTATTTTTATTACATAGATAATCTCCGAAACCACTGAACTGATTCTTGTGAAACTGTAGATCTATTTTAACAAAACCAGTTGGTCTAAAATTTTGAATAAAAAAATTTATTAATTAAGTCTCGTTTCAAACTCCAGAATGAATTTTATAATTTATCCAAAAACTGGCATAACTTTTTTAATAAATTACCTGAAAGACTCACAAACAGTGTCGGATTGAGGACATGGGGAGAAATTGTATACGGATTCGGTTTGGGTATTATTATTACTATTATTATTTTCAGTTTTTCGGCGACATTGGCGTTTTGAAAAAATGATGTTTTTGGAATTTTAATGACGTTACCAAGAAAAAGAAAGCTAGTAAAAAAATTGGTCGAAGGTTATTTCAACAGAACTTTTCTCGCCCTGAAGTGCAGTCAAATAAATCCGACTACCCTGAAAAATTATCATTTTTTTGCGATTTTTGTTTTCTGATAACCTCTATAAAGTAAAATTCAGTGGCGTAAATAACGATAACAATTTTTCTTTTTTTTTCCTTAATTTTTTCTAGTTTTGAAGTTTAAATTTAATTTTTCAATTTTTCAAATTTTCAATTCAATTTCTAGATTTTGCAATTTTTCGATTTGAGTTTCTCGAGTTTTCAATTTTTAGTTTTCAATTTGCAATTTTTCATTTCAGTTTTCTGTTTTCTTTATTTTTACAATTTTTCAGTGTTCCGATTTTATAATTTTTTGTTTTTTCAATTTTTGGTTTCGTCAATTTTTCAATTTGCAATTTTTCAATTTTCCGGTTTTTTTTTCTTTAATTTTACGATATCTCTACGAGTTTCCATTTTTAAATTTTCTAGTTTTCTGATTTTCCAACTTTTGGACGTTTGAATTTTTAATTTTTCAATTTTTAGGTTTTTCAGTTTTTCATTTCGTAGTTTTTCAGAAAAAAGGAGAAAGTATGAGTTATTCTACGTGCCTTACATTAAGAGTACAGTCCAAAATGATTGAATAATAGATTGATTTTATGTTCTTTATTATAATATCAATGTTCTTTGCTGAAAAAACAAATTTGAAAAAAAAAGATTCAGCCCCACCCACCCGCCTCGATCTCAATTGTGATAAGTTTTTCATTCCTAATCAGACGAGGGCGGAGTTTAATTAAAACATATTATTTCTCCAGAAAATTCTACCCTTAGAAAAACATATTTCATATGGTAATTTCTTGTAAAGAAATAAGAATTTTGCAACTAAACTCCGCCCTTCAGCTCACGATGAATAAAGTATTCATCACAATTGAGAATGGGTGGGTGGGCGGGGCTTATATTTGGTCCATTTTTTTCTTAATATACGAAGTCTTCTTGTGCCGACAAGAAACTGACAATATGTTGCACTATCCTGTTGTTGAAAAAAACTTGATATATTAAAAAAAAACAGAAATTAAGCCCCACCCACCCGCTCGGATTTCAATTGTGATGACGTTTTCATTCCTAATCAGACCGAAGGGCGGAGTTTAATTGTAACATCAATATTTCTCTAAAAATTTCTACCCTTTTAAAAACATATTTGATATGGTAATTTATTGTAGAGAAATGAGGATTTTGCAGCTAAACTCCGCCCTTCAGCTCACGATGAATAAAATATTCACCACATTTGAGAAGGGATGGGTGGGTGGGGCTTATATTTTGTCGATTTTTTCTTAATATACGAAATCTTCTTTTGCCGACAAGAAACTGACAATATGTTTAACTATCCTGTTGTTGAAACTCTATATATTAAAAACAAAAAACAAAAATTAACCCCACCCACCCGCCCAGATCTCAATTGTGATGAGGTTTCCATTCGTAATCAAACCGCAAGGCGGAGTTTAATTGTAACATCAATATTTCTCTAAAAAATTCTACCCTTTTAAAAACATATTTCATACGGTAATTTGTTGTAGAGAAATGAGGATTTTGCAGCTAAATTACGCCCTTTAGCTCACAATGAATAAAATATTCATCACAATTGAGAAGGGGTGGGTGGGCGGGGCTTATATTTTGTCCATTTCTTCTTTTCCCAACAAGAAACTGAAAACATATTTATCTATCCAGTTGTTGAAAGAGAATTCTACATATTAAAAAAAAAAACAAAGATTAAGCCCCACCCACCTGGCCAGATCTCAGTTGTGATGAGGTTTTCATTCCTAATCAGATCGAAGGGCGGAGTTTAATCGTAACATCAATATTTCTCTAACAAATTCTACCTTCTAAAAAACATATTTCATATGGTAATTTCTTGCAGAAAAATGAGGATTTTGCAGCTAAACTTCGCCCTTTAGCTCACGATGAATAAAATATTCATCACAATCGAGAGGGGGTGGGTGGGCGGGGCTTATATTTTGTCCATTTTTTCTTAATATACGAAGTCTTCTTTTGCAGACAAGCAACTGACAATATGTTTAACTATCCTGTTGTTGAAAGAGAATTCTAAATATTAAAAAAAAAGAAACAAAGATTAAGCCCCACACACCCGCCCCGATCTCAATTGTGATAAATTTTTCATTTGTTGTTAGACAGAGGGGCGGAGGGTAATTGCAAAATACATATTTCTCTATTGATTTGAATAAGTTTGTCTTTTCAAAACAGAGGATTAAAATTATTAATTAAAACACAATCGAACAAAATGTTATGAATATTATAATTCTTATTTTATCACTATAAAGATGTGCGTTTTCTCACATTCTCGAGAAAATGGGGTGACTGACTCTCATCCTTGAAGGATAATCCAACAAATTCCGCTTGTTTAAAACTTTATAAAATAACGGGGAAAAATGTACCGAATTCGACTATTAGCACGTTCAGATTACAAGCATCAGCGTTTAAAGAAACTGAAATTTGATTAATTTTGTGTCCCCCAACGCACAGGAAAGGACTGATTGATTAATTCAACTCAGTTTTTTCCCAAAATTACTCATAAATTTGAAAAAATTCGGCAAAAATATAAGATAACGGACAAATTTCGATTAACGATTTAACATGCATTTCACAGCATTCGGTTTTTGCAAATTCAAAGTTAAATGCAATGTTGAATTTTTTCCAAAAATTCATAAATTACTCATGCAGGAATATGTTATTAGTTTATTAGCAAGAAGCTTCTTTCCTTGAGGAGTTCCTAAAATAAAGATTTCATTTATTTAGTTATTCTTTACAAATTAGAGAAATATATATACCGCACAATCGTATATAATACACCACGCACTCTTTTAGACGCTCGTTGGTCACTATTTGTAGCGCTCAACCACATCTAAAAATCCACGGAATCTGGAGATCAACTACCGTCCTTGGAGATTAAGTTTATGATTCTCTTCGTAAGAACGCAGCAGTAGCAGAGAATTTTTTACAGAGGAAAATGCGCTGCCAGTGGTGTTGAAGGACGTTATTGTGAACGTTTCATCGACACATCTTTCTAACTCAGTTTTAACTACATCTGGTACAAATATTCCAAACTATCACAACTACACATTTACTTTTAATATTAAAAATAGTTTACATTGAAATTCGTAAACAAACAATGCAGCAAGAAATGTCCCGTTCACAAGAGTCGATATTGCGAAACAGACTTTTTTTAAATCAGAAAATTGATTAGTTTACGTCGATCATTAGCGCGTTTGCTTAACCCACCATGCATTCTTCCCTTTTCTTCTTATTATCGCGCTGATGCGGCGTTTCGTAACAATTCGCCCGTGCCCGCGCATGCACAAGCTCTCGATTGTCTTTCGAACTGTTTATTTACCGATGATTGATGGTCGATTGACCAAAAGGAAAATGTGTGTGAGATGCATGCACAATGCAATTAATTACACATCGTCGATAGTTCTTTGACGTGTGACCCGCGATGCTTGATGGAACCTCTGACATCGTCATCTCCAACACCTCACGGATGACGGCCTAATAACACGGCCAATCCTTTAATTGCTTCGCTGGATAACATCTCCTTATCGAAGGTCGCCGGTACACCTCCTAACAGTACCGTAAATCGCGTCGACCGCAGCCGGGGGGTAAGCTCGCGAAAATCCATCAACTCCGAGAAAATTTCGAAATTTCTTCGAGAAAACAGGTAGTGGAATTTCAGTCAATCAATTTTTTTCGGTTTACGGTATTTAGTAGCGCGATAAGTGGCGGCTCTCCAATATT